AACACAGAATGCAGCAGATGGTGAATCGAGGAGAAGGATTCATGCGGCAACATCAAAAGGAAAAATGGTTTAAATATATAATATTTTTTCAAAAACTTGGGGACCACCCTTATTATAACTGATAAGAATTCCAAGAATATACTTTGACTAAGTAAACGCCTGAGGATAAAATTCATCTCATAAAGGCAATTGGAAAAAATACTATATTTCTTAACTTGCGATGGATTTTATTGATTTGAATACTAACAATACAATCTAGGAGAAGAAACAGCTTTGATAAGTGGTGAGTCTATTCATTGAAATTTGAACTTCATTCTGCATTTGCAGTTCAACAGCTGTAAATCATAACTCACGCTCGTTGGGAATGCCTCGCCATTTTCAACTTTTCAATGCTTGTTCGTTTTAACTCAGGTATTGCACTTGAAGCAGCAATGTTTATATGTCAAAACATTATTTGATTAATTGCGAACACCTGGGTTACGAACATGAATGGTTTGCCAGTATGTTCTCAAAACTCTTAAAATAGTTCAATCTTTGCATGGAATTTCTTTTAAAGAAAGGAAGGGGGGATACAGGATAAACTTCCGAACTATAATTTCGGTGACAAAGATATCAGTTCTAATTTCAGGTAGAAAGGGAAAGAATCTACATTATGGCATGTTATTTTTGATTTAACAATAATTTTTAGAAGCTATGTCGATAAAGTTTATCTTCTACTGAAAATTATGAGTGACAGCTGAATATAGAACATACATTATGAAGGAAAGAATAAGTTTGGGAAAAATTATATACTTTTTACTACATGTTTGGATTATGTTTGAAAATTTCAATTATACAACTAAAAAATGTAATAAATGTAGGTAAGTTCCATCACAAAGTCCTCCACGAAGGCACTTTTCTCTCAATACTTGATTCAGGAGTTTCTTTGTCGTCTGGATTGGGTACAAAGTCACAAGACTACGGACTTGAACATTGGGTCAGTTGTTCAATTATGGTTATAAAATAAATGTTATAACAATAACTTGTGTGGAAAAAATAGAGCAAATAGAGAAGGTAAGGATGAAAAATTAAGTAAGAAAAAATAATTTTAAAAAAATGATACTGCAGAAATCCATTTTTATAAATATATAAGTCATTTTTTGCGACATCAAAACCTACAATCTAATTCTTTTTTTTTTAAAAAGTAAAGTTTACCCGTTTATTTTATATTTCAAAATAGATTTATAATTAGTTGTAGTAAGTAATCTTTCTGTCCTGTGATATCAATTATAATATACTATTAAATTTCTGATTTTCGTCTAGAAACACTGAGAATCTCTAGCAGTTTATTTTTTCGAGCGATTGACATATTTTTTAACACACAATAACTAAGTAATTAATGTTAAGAAAAATACCTTTCATGCCATACCTTTTTCTGCGTAAATAACTTAAAAAGTTTTGATAACAGGTTTAAAATTTTGGTAAATTAATTTTGAGTTTATATTTACTTCTACATCTCTTTCTGCAATGTTGGAAATAACTAAATTTTTTTTCATTACAAGCTTATGAGAATTTTATTTTATTGGTATCATCAAAGATTTTATTAAATATCTTTCACGAAAGTAGTATTGCCAAATAAATCTCCACTAATAATCTTTATAACCATTTCGCTATTAGCCTGAGAATATAGGGCAATCCACATATGTAACACAAAGAATATATGTAAATCATATAGATGAATTTGAGTGTTCATATCGATGAATAAATATAACTATATGATTTGATTGAATCGTATAGTTGAAATTGATTTTATTTCTGAGAAGGTGCGTTGCATTTAAAATGTTGAAACAGAGCCGCGATAGCTCAGGGAATAGAGCGTTCACCCTTTCAATGAGGTGAACCGAGTTCGAATCCCGACGAAGGCTGGTCGATACGAATTCCGCACTCGGCTCGCATCGACCACAGTGAAGTAAAATATCCTCAGTGGTAGAGGGATCATGGGTTTGAGTCTCCTTGCTATCAGGCTAACGTTTGGAGGTTTTCGTGGTTTTTCTCTCCATGTAACGCAAATGCGGATTAGTTCCATCAAAAAAATCCTCCATGAAAGCAGTTCCTCCAATCCTCGCTGGCTTAATACTCCCAGTGTAGCAAATGCTGATTGGTGCATTCTAAATCTGTTGGGTCGCAAAGTTCTCCGTGTTCCCATAACAAATCAATACCTTTGGGGGTACTGATTCAGGAGTTTTCTTGCCTTCTGGATTGAGTTCAAAACTACAAGGCTACGGAGTGCAACATTAGTAGTCCGACCTAAAGCTGACCCAAAAATTGGGTCGGCTGTTCAATGACGGTCATAAAATAATATAAAATAAAATGTTATAACAGTAATTTTAAATAAATAATTACATATTAAATGAAATGAGAACAAAAATCCAGATTTTATTTCAGCTAATCAATTATAAGCTTTTATCTCTAATTAAATAATTTTCAAAGAAAATTTTTATTAAATATGTGTCATAAAAAATCAAAATAGAGTAAAATAAGAAGGTATTTTGAACTTAAATACAAGTATTACAATTTGTGAAACAAAAGTAAAAAGAACTGTATGTTTGCCTACATTTTACTGAATTTCAGGAATGTCTAATAGCCGCAAAACTATTGCAGACATTATTACTGTATAAATTATTATTAACTAGCACTATAAAAAATGAATAAATCAAATAATATTAAGAAACGTTTTCTGAATTATTCAAGCAATTTCTGAGTAGCAAATATATATTTATTGCAAACCATAATTAACATATTTATGCTATAAGGCACAAGCTTTTAGTGTATAAAATTAAGTAAGAAATAAAACTTTTTTAAAAACAATATTCAAACTAATGATTTCAGAAAAATTTATTTCAAAAGACAAAATAGAGCATATCACTTAATTTGTTATATCTTTATATAATTTATCAACAAATTTAAGCTTTTCTTAAAAAATATTATACAAGATACAAGGTGATTCTAAAAAGATGAGAAAAATTTTAGGAAGTGATAGTACACACCCAGACAAATAATTTTTATCAAAGAATGCATGGTCGAAAACAAAACCCAAAACCACTAGAGGGCGTCAAAGTTTATGTTCTTATATGAGGCAAAAACACACAAAGACCGATGAAATTAAGTTATAAAAGCAAATTTAATGGCATGTGATAACAATAAGTGTTCAAAACAGTGGTCGGCAGCGGCTATGCTTTTACAACGGAGAAAAGATAAGCGAACTTTCCCTGCAGCGGCGGAAAGCTTAGCGACAAATAACGTAGCGCAGCAACTCGCAATAGGAATGGAGCTTTCTCGTCTGTATGAAAAAACTTTCCAAATGCGCCAGCACCTTTGCGTTTTGTTTTCGAGCATGCATTCTTTGATAAAAATTGCCTTTGCTTGTCTGGGTGTGTACTATCACTTCCTAAAATTTTCCCCATCTTTCTAGGAATCACCCTGTATATATATATATATATATCAGGCAGGAGTT